GAGAGCAGGACCCACAGATAAGTAGAACAGCATCACAGGCTGTAGGGCTATCACAGTGCTAGTGAAAGACAGAATCCTTCCCCTCTTTCTATCTGGACATCACAAAACTAAAATCACTGGAAAGACCTTCAAAATGAGAATGACACACTCATAGTAACCTTAAAGTTTAGCAAGAAGTCAGAGGTGCTAAGCATACTTTTAATCCTAGCACTTGGGAGCTGCAGCAGGAGGATCATGCTGGGCTGCATAGCATAATCCTCTCTCAAACAAACAAACAAATATTCATCCCAGGTTCTGACTGCTTCTCATGGTGTCCATTGCTCTCTCCCTGATAGTGCCACATGATCTCTGGCCTGGATTCCTGGGTTACCTCCTAAGGGGTCTCAGAAACTGTAGATTGGTTTTCACATGGGATTTCTAAAGCCAAAGCCTGTGTTTCTGCACCTAGGGGCCTTTTCTGGCTGCCTAGGAGGCACCCCTCACCAGGTGACCGAGAGGAGGTGGAGTATACATACCCAACTCCATCTATCACTCCTGTCATTGGAGATTCCAACATGTGTTTTATCCTGGGCTCCAATGTTTCCCCAATGAGGTTCAGCTCTAGTTGGGCACAGGGATATTGGTTGCCTTCCATTTCCTTTCCCTTTCTTGCCTTCCTTACCAGCATTTGCTTTAATCCAAAATTAGCAAATTGCCCTTATCTCAGTGTCTGTTTGTCAGGGAACCATACAATGATATCCTTCTTCACACCATTCTCAATCTAGAAGGCAGAGTAAACCTTTTATACACAGTCAGATTACCTCATTCTTATCTTAAAACCCTGAAATTAGCTCTCCTCTTCACTCAGAAGAGAATATCAACATCTTTAGGTCTCCAAGGCCTAACATCCTCTGCTTACATCTGTTCTCCCCGTGGCTTCTCTGCCCCATGGTCTTGCCAGGCATAAGCACCTCATGGCCTCTGCTCTAGCTATTCCCTTGGTCTGTGGTGCTCTTTCCTGGGAATCTGCTGCCTGGCTAACTCCCTCACCTCCTTCAGGATTTGCTCTTTGCTCACTTTCTCAATAAAGTCACCCCAACTGACAACCTATGTAACATAGCACATTCTCCCCACTTAGCCACTGAGATTTACTTTGATGTCTAATTTTAACAGGAAGAAGTTAACAACCAATTTAAGCACTAAAAATATCTACTGAACAATGTTTTCAACATGAATTTATTTTTAAAAAACTTCTAACTTGTCAATTAGCTTGAGATCACTGGCTTATATGGCCATAGAGAATTTTAAATATCAGAAATCATAACTATTTGCCAAAATGAAAAAAACCTGATATCAAATTTAGATTTTTGAGCATGGAGCACAAAGGTATCCAATTAATCGAACTATCACCTTCTGAGGTGAGTTTAGATATTGTAGACTCCCCCAAATTGATGTACAGAATCAACATAATCCCTTCCAAAGTTCTGGCAGGTTCTTGGAAGAAACTGAAAAAGTAATTGTAAGATTTCTCTGGAAGCTCAAGGACTCAGAAGAGTCAAACAATCTTTAAAAACAAAGGAGTTGGATGACTTGTACTTTCTAGTTCAAAAATTTACTACAAAGGTACAGTAATCAAGACAGTGCAGCACTTCCCTAAAGTACCATATACAGATCAATAAAATAGTCCCAATCCAAACCCTCACATTTATATTCATTTTCAACCAGGGTCCGTAGAGCATTCACTCAATAGAGAAAAAAACAAAAGTCTTTTCAACAAGTAGTGGAAAGTTACTACATGTTCCAGAATCTCAATCTTGAAGCATATACCTAAAAGAAATGTAAACATTTGCCCACACAAAATATTGGAGCCCAAATGTTCAGTAGTATTCAGAATATCCCCAAAGTGGAATCAACCCAAATGTCTATCAACTTATGACTGTATAAATAAAATGTGGTGGGGCCAGGAATGGTGGCACATGCCTATAAATCCAGTACTCCAGAGGCTGAGGCAGGAAGATTGAGACTTTGAGGTCAGCCTGGGCTACCTAGTGAGTCCCTGTCTCAAAACAACAACAAAAATATGATGTATGCATGCAATGGAATATCATTTTATAATGAAGTAGAATGAGGAAGTAACCAATGCTACCACATCAGTGAATTCTGAAAATACTACACTAAGTGAGAGAAGCTAATCTGAAAAGACAATATGTTAAATGATTCTGTTTCTATGAGTTGTCCAAAACAGAAAGTCTATAAAGACAGGAAGCAGATTAGTGCTTACCTAGGGCTGGAGTGCAAGGGAAGGGAGCACCGAAGCAAAATTGGGATGAGGGCTTTTGGGGGTGATGTTTTAAAATTCATTTTGGTAACAGTTACACAATTCTCTCTCTCTCTCTCTCTCTCTCTCTCTCTCTCTCTATATATATATATATATATATATATATATATTAAGAACATGGAATTGTACACTTTAAGTGGGAAAACTTTTATGAATTATATCTCAATAAACTTTTAAAAAATACTATACATTAATAACTAGAACTTAACTCCCAGATAAAATGGGTTTTACTAAATGAGAGTCTGCATGTAATCATTTTTTCTATTAACGTCTTCAGTTTAAGTTTCTGAAAAGAAAGTGGCACAAAAGAAATATAGACACATCAGTTCTTCAGAGTAAGAATAACATAGTAAGAAAAATAATAAGAATGGCAACATTAACATAATGCTTTTAGGTAGAAAACAACTTCACAAACAGTCTTTTAGCCAACAAAATAGCAAACCAGAAAGAGTCACTGAGTCTGACTTTAAACATGGAGATAACATACAAGAGAGTGGGAAGTCGATGAATTGCAGAGACCTACCTACTCAGTTATGCATATAAAGTCTTCACAAAACACTTAGCAAGATAGAAAGTGGCTAGGAAGTGATGGCCCTCATTTGGGGGGTGGGGGCAGGAGTCACATCATCCTGAAAGGATCAATATCTCCCCATATGCTGAGGGGCAGGGGAGCAGCAGAAGCAGCCTGGTGCCAGCCCATGGCTGCAGACTGATGGCAGAGTAATTCTGAAGTCAGGTGAGGAATCTCATAGCTGTCCATGTAGAGGACTGGACAGCTCCAAGCATTCAACTCAGCTCATTTCAACTGCTAACTTAGCAATTCCATCAGTTTATGAGCATATTTTCTATTACTTGGGGAAAAATAAGAACACTGAGAATCAAGAGTAAATACTGAGATTCCTAAAAGAAAGAGTATAAACAAAGGACAAAAAATTAAATTGACATCAGACGTGAGGCAATGAAGTAGTATTTTTAAAATTTTGAAGAAGGGAATAGAATTTTATGTAAAATTAAATTATTATTACATGTAAAAAATAAATATGATAACAAGCATTTAATTTCTCAAGGGGAATGTCACATAAAATTTATCTCAGAAAAAAAATATCTCACAGGGTTTATACTAGTGAAAAATGAGTGAAATGCATGAAAAGTAAAAGGTGTCTATTGTTATTTAAATGTGGCATAATAAAGATAGAAGTATATGCATAATATCTGGATCAAAAAGACCAGATAGTGGCTCAGAGAAGTGGCTCAAACCTGTTATCCTAGCTACTCATGAGATGCAGGTTGGGAGGGTCTCAGTTTGAGGCAATCTTGGTCAAAAAATTCCTCAAACCCCACCTCAACCAAAGGCTGGGCTTGGTGGCACACACCTGTCATCCTAGCTATGTAGGATGACCTAAGAGGAACAAAGTCTAGGCCTGCCCAGGCATAAAGATAGACTTGATCTCAAAAACACAACCAATGCAAAATGGGCTCGTGGAGTGGCTCAAGTGGTAGTACTGCCTACCTAGCAAACTCCAAAAAAAAATATATCTAGATACTACCAACATCTGGAAGGAGAAACTGGAAACTGAACATGTACTATGACATTATTTTTTTGGTTGATGATCAGTAGAGGAATATGTATTAATAAGGGTTAGACATTACTAGGGAAAAAGACCCATTAAAATGAATCATAATATGTAAGGGGTACTATGAATAAAGAAAAAATCAATTTATCCAACAAAGCTGTGAAAAAAATAAAAAAGAGGGCTAGAAAGAGCCTATACACATATATACACACACATACTCACTCATACACACACACACATACACACATATGTACCTACATACAACTCAAAATACATACATACACACAACATACACACACATACACATACAAATACATACACACATTCACACATACAGACAGCATACACACACAATAATTCATGCACATACACTTGAACGTATAAATACATAAACACACACAGACATACACAAACAAACACACTGGGGAGCTGAAATAAGCCTTAGCAGAACAGTAATTTTTGTCAACATAAACACCAATCAAAGTGAGACTCAGAGACTGAATGGAAAAACTGCAAGCTAACAGTGTTTTCTACAAGGGATAGGTGTGAAATGGGTACAAGAGAAGTTGCAAAGAGGAATGAAAGGAGAACTATAGGTAAATATAAACTAAAAGAAAGAGTAGACATTTTTAAACTTTAAAAAAGTAATTTAAGGTTAAAAAGGTCATAATAGTAAAGGAGGAAATAAAAGTTTGGAAGAAATAGAAGGTATGATTAGGAACATGTGCACCTGGCAACACATTCTTGGACACTGTAAATGAGCAGCTGAGACACGGTGGTGCGACGTGTGTTACTTATATTCATTCCTATGTGCCTTTGACTTGTCTAGTGCTCTATTTCTTTTCCTCGTAGGCCTATGTAGACATTACTAGTTTTCATTTCCCCTTGCTACTTGATTTTCAACAGTATTTGAAAATGTTTCAAACAGATGGAAAGGAAAGAGAATTTGGATTCAAATAGTTCAGGTTTTCTATTTGTTAAAAATTTTGTACTAACATTATTTGAAACAAGGGGCAAAACTGAAATTACAGCATTTCATTTAATCATTCTGTCTCTTTTCTAATTTCTCCCCAAGTAACGGAATACAAACACATAAATGCCCAAATGTTTTAAGTTTCCACAGCAACCTGTGACACAGAGTAGTAAAAAGTCAAGTACATAAAAGCTAAACGCACACACACACACACACACACACACACACACACATCGTGTACATCCTCTAAAAACTCATCCCTTGTACAGTACCCAAGAGGTGTAAGTTTTATTTTCTTTTCAGGTATTGGGAGGAGTCTATTTTTATATTGCTTGCTTTCCTTGAAGAAAAGCAAAATCTGAAAATAACAACACATAATTATTCAGATAAGGGTACTTTTAAAAACAGAATGAAGTATTTCAGATCTACAGTTTGTTAATTTTTCTACTTAAACATTGTACCATGAATACAATATAAGTATAAACATATAATTAAATTAGAATGCCTCACAATTCTTTGATTAGTCACTAATTACCATCTATAAAATTTTCCTCTTTGGGGTTATTATGTTCAGAAACATGTCATGCATTGTTTCAGGATTCTAAGGCCACATTCACTTGCACGTAATGATTTCTGATGCACTATATTCTACTTCTGCACTTGTGACAAAGGATTTTATAATACGGTCACTCCACAAATAAAAATATTCACTATATTTTATCCTTCTTAACATTTAAAAGCAAAAGTATGTATTTAAAGTGCAGCTCATCTCCACCCCCCTTTTGTAGTAAACTCTGTTAATAAAGATAGCTGTGGATTGTTAACTAGGGGCCACAGGGTGCCCCAAGAACTTAATATAGGTGTTTTGTTTCTTCCATCATGATGATATCTTAAATTCCTTCAGCACCTGTCAGGTGGAGGCTGCCAGGTGAGCTGTCTGTCACTCTTGCCTAAGCTAATAGATTCTCCAGTGGCTTTTGTTACAGTTCATGTCATGCCATTGAAACTATATGCCTTGAAAATGGCATAACATAGGTAGCTGAATCTTGTCAACTCCAGCTAATCAGACTGTGTGTGGCTTCACAAGCAGATGCAGATTAGAGAAGCAGTATAAATATGCAAATCACAGTGGTCCCCTTTCAGCACCACTGTTCCTACCTCCAATGGCCCTCGCAGAAAGTCTGTTTGTTCAGCTCCTACTTCCAGTGCTACATCAACAGAGGCAAAAGGACGGCTGGCCATCTGCTGTCGTTCTCGGAGCAGTTGCTAGAGGGGGTTGAAAATGATTTGTTTTAAAACAGGCTTAAAAGCACATGAAACTCAACAATTCTGCTTTCACTTTTGAACAAATGGCACTGAAAATTTAGGAATCCTTTTGTACTCATCTTTGTATCTAAAGAGCTGAAGATGAGAATTGCCTTCTCCTCCTGGCCTGGGTGTATTTCCATAGAGGGATTAAATATATTTTTGCCTACAGATAACTTTTCTCTTGACCTCCATCCCACAGGGCCTAACAAGTATTCAAAAGCACTTTGATACCTCAGGCAAGAGGTGCTACTTAAATAAAAAGTGCTATTACCATGATGGCTATGCCAAATTTTCCCACTCCAAATAAACTATGCTTTTGTTTTAGTTGAAAGAAAATAGCAGTACAAATATTCAAGAAATGATAATGAGAAGTTGTCACACTGCATTAACAGAGATTAAAGGAACATACACCTGCCAAGACCAAGTTTTTGTAAGTCATCAAGATCCTCTGTTAAGTGCTATGGAATCAGCAGGAAGTGTTATTGGCAGCATTTATAACTTTATTCAGAGCCTCCATGTTCATTACTTAAAATGAGAAATGATTAGCAAGTTGTTGAAATTTTGTGCCAGGACTTCTAACACTCTCTTAGGTATTTATTTATTTCTCCCTGGGATTTGCCCAAGCTAAAACCAATAAACTAGCAAGTTCCAACAAACTACAAAGCTAATTTGTATTTCTGCCTCTCCTTGTAATTATAATATTCATTGTCACGGTAAAAAAAAATGATGACCAGCAATATATATTGCAAAACTTGTCCCTCTCATTCTATACATTTAATAAAATTATTATTAAATATTAAAAGAGGATGGGTGAGTCAATTAAATATGCTTTCAGATGAGAAGAAAAATCATATCACTGAAGAAGGCAGAATCCCAAGCACAATGAATGGCTTCATTATTTGTAGAGATTTTTGAAGATTCAGTGGCATTAACTTCAGATATCAAGTACTTGGCCTTGGAGTGTAAGTGGATGCAGTAACTGTGATGCATCATTCATAAAATTCACTTGGAGATGATGAAGGAACACAAGTCTACACCTGATGGCAGTTTATTATTTACCATTTTTGTGTTAACCCATGTGATACAGTGGTGATCCTGTTCATGATTAATGATTAATGCCTTTTCATTATTAAAAAGAGAACACCCACCTGACAATGAAGGATTGAAGGAATGCAACTGTTAATGAGTAATAGTTTAACTCCTTAATGAAATGTAAATTCAAAGTAAAAAATAAAGGTGATCTAAATTACAAAATCATTCACATAATACAAATTCAAAATTGTATTATTAGCTGGGTGCTGATGTCTCACACCTGTAATCCTAGCTACTCAGGAGGCAGAGAGCAGCAGGAGGATTACAGTTCAAAGCCAACACAGGCAAATAGTTTGCAAGACCCTATTTTGAAAAAACCCATCACAAAAAAGTGGCTCAAACGTGTAGCCCCTGAGTTCAAACTCCAGTACTGAAAAAAAATTATGTTATTAAAAATACAGCTGTTAGCAAACAGAATCTCATTTATAATCACTTAATAATTGAGTGCCCACTAAAGTTCATTCTGCAAAGAAGTTAAAGATTGTTCTTGCACAGACTTTAACACTATAGCTTATAATAAAACAAGACATGACAAAAAGTAATAGTAACTAGGACCAAGACAGGTATCAGAAAAGATACAGATAGGGAATTTGACTAATAAATTTATTCTGGGCCATATAGCAGGACACTAGTTAGAGAACTCTTGCTGGCCCAGCTGAGTTTCTAAGTTTGGGGAATAAAGGCAAATGTTTTTGCTATGGAACTTAGAAAGGGCAAATTACTTTCTCCTGAATGGCTCTTGTTTAGGTGTGATGGCTCTAAAAGAATACAACAGTATTTTTGGCTCTCCCTGGTGGGAATGCAAGCTGGTGCAACCACTCTGGAAAAAAATTTGGAGACTTCTTAAAAATCTAAACATAGACCTGCCATATGATCCAGCAATCCCACTTCTGGGGATATACCCAAAGGAATGCAACACAGGTTACTCCAGAAGCACCTGCACACCCATGTTTATTGCAGTGCTGTTCACAATAGCCAAGTTATGGAAACAACCAAGATGCCCTACTATTGATGAATGGATTAAGAAAATGTGGTACTTGTACACATTGGAATTTTACTCAGCCACGAAGAAGAATGAAATCTTATCATTTGCAAGTAAATGGATGGAACTAGAGAACATCATTTCTGAGCAAGGTTAGCCAGGCTCAGAAGACCAAAAATCGTTTGTTCTCCCTCATATGCAGACTTTAGATCTAGGGCAAATGCAGCAATGTGGTTGGACTTGGATCACATGACAAAGGGAGAGCACATATGGGTGATGTAGAAATAGATAGAAAACCCAAAACATGAAAGTGTTTGATGTCCTGCCCACTCCAGAGGAGCTAATATAGAAACTTTAAAGCGACAGAGGTTATCATGAGAAGGGGATCAGTAACCAGTGTAAAGATCAGTTAGAGATGAATCAACATGAGTCATAACATGTGTACACGAAAACAATGCTAGGAATATTTCTGTACAGCTATCCTTAACTCAATTAGCAAAAATACCGTGTCTTCCTTATTATGCTTGTCTCTTTTCTTCAACAAAATTAGTGATAAAGGCAGAACAGGACCTGCCTGGAACTGCGGGGGGAAAAGGGGGAGAGGGTAGGGGAGGGGGGCACAGGGGAGAAATGACCCAAACAATGTATGCACATGTGAATAAATGCATAAAAAAAGAATACAGCAGAAGATCTTTTGATAATCTTTGCTGCTGAGTTCTGGTTCTCAACTCTATCCTAATAATTGTCCTCCTTTTTGCCAATTAACATCTGAATGCATTAATTCCTTAATTTTGCAAGAACAAAAGGAAATGAGGACAACATGCCTACAACTTAGATTTTATGAAAACTAAGTATAATTACTGATATGCAACACAGACTCTGGAGTCAGAAGGATCTGCATTTGGATGGCAGTTTCTCCACTGTTTAGCTGCTTGAGCTTAACCAAATGATCTAGACCTCACGAAACCTTACTTTTTCTTATCTGTAAAGTGAGTGTGATGGTAGTACCTACATCTAAAGCTGTACTTCAGAGGGTCTGTTTTGAGCCTCAGCTTCCCTACTTACTAGCTATTAGACCATAACTACGAAGTACATAGGTTTTTCCAAACACTCCTTTCTATCTATAAAATGGTAATAACAATCCTGTCTGCAGGTCATACAGTTAGGACTAAAGAGGTGATGTACTGAGATAGTACAGCAGAGAGGCTGGCACATTGTAGGCACCCAGTAACTGTTCATTGGTACAATTATGATGTTGAGTTTCAAGCACTAATTTTGTCATTGAAGACAGCGGACTAATTACCACAGGCCCATTTTCTTTAGCACTGGCGACACATTTTGCTCTACTAGTCTCCCTTTTACCAAATGTTGCAAATTTATGAGACAGTTGGAAAATGTCATTATTGTGGCAGAATGAATTTAGATTTGGAACTGTTCTCTGCCATTTGTGACTAAGAAGGATGAAAACTCAACATGAAAATTAGGAGAAAATATATAGTACTTTTTCAAGAAAATAAATTTAATTTCTTTTCTGTGGTTGAGTTTTTCAATATGAAATGAAGCTTAGCATTTCTACATCTATTGGAAGTCATACAGCAGATGTATCCATTTCATAACTAATTTGCTACTGCCAATTATTCAGCACAGTAATAAACTCAAAAGAACACGTTGATCATAATACAATCAATTTAATCATGCTGCCATAAAATTATTATGAAGAAAATTAAAAAATTATAGAGATAGTCTTAATATCACATTTGTTGTCCAAAACATAATTGTGTTACTATTTAAAAAATATACCATGGAATTAAAAATAACATAAAAATCCACATTTAAATTTGACAACTGGATTTAGTCAATGATTCTATCAGTTGTATATATGACTACAGATAATTCTTCCACTTAATACTACCTCTTCAAGTATTGTATCATTCCTCATCTCTCCAAATATTGCATGGCATACAACTCTCTTAAATTATGGGATATTAATCCTTAAAAATACACATAAAAAATAGTAGGCAACTTTGCTGCCGATTGTCCTTACATCTCCTAGCACATGTTCCCATACATCCTCTTCCACACCTCCAAATGTCCTATTCCACTCCAAGTTTGAAATGATATCATCTCCTATGAATTACTTATCATGTTTGTATGGTATGACTCCTTTATATTTACATGCTTTTTAAAAAATCTTCTTTAAGGCAAAAATGTATTTTTAGTTATTTCTCATCTACCACAGCACTTGGTCTTCAATACCCTTTGTTGAATAATCAGTGAATGTGTGAACAAATCAAAGCATAAAAACTGCTTCATTTGAATATGGGTAAGGACAAGTTATGATAAAATGGTTTTAATTTTGGTGTTGGGACAATATGAAGTACACAGAAGTGTGACTATCTTTTAGTACTGATAGTCTATCATTTTATATAACTAAATCTGCCAGGCACAAGGCTCAAACTCTTATTCAGCATATCAAGAACTGTCTGCTTCCAGTCTTCCAGTCTAAAGTTGCTTTTCCAAGACAGCAATGTTAGTATCTATGGGTAGTTTAGCAGACCATGTTCATTCAAGTTATTTCAATTACTTTCTTCTAGGCTTCTATAATCTTTGAACTACTAGTGATATGCTTACGCTTGAAATAGTGTCGTTTGCTTAAAAACTGAGAATTTTTTAGCAGCTTCACTGAATTTACCAAAAATCACTTCAATAATTTTGGGTTGTTTTGTTTTTTTCAATCTAAATCTTTGCAATATTTGTACTAACTTGCAAAACAGATTTTAGTGACTGCCCAGAAGGACCCTAATCGTAAGATTTCACTAAACTCTTAAAAAATACTCCATTTTTCTTTATTATTTGAAATGAAAATACGGTCTTCATTTGTCAA